CGGTCTCATCCCCTCTACCCTTCACCACACTCTCTCTCCTCCCCATCTCTCTCTACCGCTCATACCACGCATACTTCTTATCTTCGCTTAATCAGTGGCCTGCCTTTATTGGTACCCGTTCTTTTTATCTGCTGCTTCTCTTGTCTCCCTTTAATTATTTCTCAGAGCTGTTTATTGCTCTCCTCGCTCGATTAGATGGTAGAGGGAGAGCACCCGCTTTCTCTCTCGTGTCCGCAGCTCACTGTCTGACTGTCCATCGGCTACGTACTGTTTTCTCTCCCTGGTCTGAACTGTACCATCGCTCGTCTGTTTCATCCCTGTCCTCTACTTCCGGACGCGACTCTTTCTCTCTCTCATATTTCTTGAACCGTAAGCGGCTGCCTATGTTAGCCTGCTGCTGTTGTCGATTGTTGTTGTGTGTAATGTGTCGTTGTGCTGTTGTTTTGCTAACAGAGTCAGGGCACGATCTATGTGTTGTCCTTCTGTAGGTGTCGGCGTCCGAGATGACTTGGAAAAAACTACTTCACTGAAGAGATGAGGGGGCGACAACTATGATGCTGTTACTGACAGGCAGAAGTTCGCAGACTCGGGGCTTAGCAGCGAATAATAGAGTGAAAGCTGCTAACAATAGAAGGTACAAGCTGATTAGTTATAATGCGTAGTCAGCTTATATACGACCCGAGTATTAATTATTAACTGTGCTAATTAAATGTAAATAATACCGCGCTTCATTATGCCGTGGAACTCCGTCGGCCTAGTGAGTGAAAGACGCGGGTGACGAAGTTGTCGCTTTCCATCGTGCTAGCCATAACTTGATATCTAACAATACAGACAACAGGCGATAGTGCAAGATGGAGATGTAGTTGCAGATTTATAGTAAGAACAATGTTTCTGTTATGGAGGGTAGCGTGCTAATATGCGCGTTAGCATTCGGCGGGTTACCAACTGTGTACAGCGTCGGCATGCTGGGGCCGCGCTCGGAGCCAGGCAGCTCGGCCGAGTTATAACTAGACTCGTACGTGCCGGCGGTCGAGCAGTTCCACACGCTAGACTAACTAACGTCAGTGTAGCGAAGGATAATTGCCGGAGTGAAGGTGGCGAACGGGTACCAGTCTAGTTATAACCCTCCTAGCTAGAAACTAAAAACTAGAAACTAGTTCTACCTAGAAACTCAAATGGAAACTAACCTGATATGCACAGCAGGCATCCGAGCAGGCGTTTATTGAGGTCCATTGATTTTGGCACAAGGTGGGAATGGTATAGAATAACGCAAGTTATGTGTTATGCCTCACCGTGCTGGTAAATGAAAGCGTACGACGCTGGACAGTTTCGGCCTCCTGTCAGGAAGCTTTCTCAAAGCTAACTGGAATCCTTAATCAGTTTGACCACCAGATGGTGTGGTGGTCAATAGCTTAGTCCACTAACACAGCGACACCGCCCCACACACGACTAAGCTATTGACCACCACACCCCCTGGTGGGCAAAAATGATTAAAATCAGTTAGCTTTTAGAAAACTTCCTGACAGGAGGCGAAACGTCAGCGGTACGTTTCATACCAGCACGGTTGAGTAACAATTAACTTGGTTATTTATATTATTCTACCAACCGAATGAACTTATTCAATGGGTGGGAATGGTGTTCATTCGTTGTAATTCATATTTTGTTTGCAGGTAGCTGTAACTGTAATACTCTATATAACATTGACGATATTTCTGTGGTACTTAACGTCTGCATTGACGGACCATTTCGCGGGTCCTCAAGTTACAAGTATGCGGTTAGTGAATGATGAAGTATTGGCTTTATTGGTATTGGATGAAGTATGAAGATTTTAATAAGTAGTTTCTATTCTTAGTTTTGTCATTTTGTTATCATTTTGCATTTTCCATTTTTGCCTATACAGATATCAGTTTGCCTATCACATAATAGTATCTGTAAAACTAATCAACAGAATGTTTCATCGACCAATCCACACAATAAAGGGAATTGTGTCAGTTAGTGTTCGACACAAAATAGCTTTGCATGTCGAACGTCCGTTGCAGGAAAAACAGTGTTGAAAATAAATACGTGTAGGGCAAATGATAAAGAAAAATGATAAAGAAGAGTTTATTAAGTAACTGCGCGTAGAAAGTAATTAAAATACCCTCTTGAAATTGCTATATGTGTATCTAAATGAATATTTGTAATGCATAGTTAGCATATCTTTGTAAATGTACCATAGCATTGTGTCATGCAGTGGCACTCATGGAACACTAGAAAACACATTTCTTGATTTAACTCCCGTAAACACTGTAGTGTCGACCCCTTGAACACTTCGGGTGAAGGAAAAATTATGTGCACCGTTCCATCTTTCATTGCTAAAAGCAGTTATTCCAAATTAGAGTACACGTCAACATGTTCCACTTAACACATAACACGTTCTTGTACTTCTACTGAACATTTTAATAAGTAGTTTCTATTCTTATTTTTGTCAGTCATTTATCTTTTGATGATTTACTTTTAAGGCAATGTACACCAAGTAACAAAAACCAAGTACAGCAAGTTTTTTCTTCAACATAGAATCAATATTTCAGAAATACTATAATTTCATGTCATACATTGTAACGCAGCATGTACACGTGCCCGAATAATGTCACATAAAATAACCTTTGAAACGGTTGAATCCGGTGTCATGAAAACAGGGTAAATCTTTTCAACAAACGATCTTATGTACTGCTCATATCATGTGCCGGAGACTTTCATAATCGCAGCAGCTTTCACACCCCTTTGCTTTATCGCCGCAAACTGGTCCTTTATGAGTCGCTTCAGTGGGTAGATGATAACGCTGCTGTGCTGCGTTTTTTTCTTGTGTTAATTATAAAGTGAAAAAAACGAGTGATAATAGCCGTCAGTTTTGGATATATGTTTATAGCAGAGGGTTTCCAATTCTTCATATCCTTTATTGACAATTTTTGTTTATAATTATAACAGATAATATGAATATGTTTACTTGCTAGCCGGCGCGATGTTTTCAACTGGTATCGGAGGCGATGTGAAATGCACGCGCTAACGTAATCCGCTGCGCGTCATGCCTTCACAGGCCTTGCCGAGTATTTTCGTAGACACAGAGAAGTTTCGAGCAGCTGTGCAGCAGTAGTGTAAAGCGAAAACCGGCCGAGAAATGACAACCATAAGCTGTCAAAGACCGACAACAATGGCAAGACACACACACAGCAACAGCTTCAATGTATGAAGGCCTATAATACGTATATATATATATATATATATTATACGGGTTAATGGTGTTTAGGGTTCGCAGATAAGCTGCTTGGTTTGGGCTGTCGACCATGAGCTGATGACAACCATGAGCTGTCAGCATTCGCGCCGACGTTAGGCTTTTCTTTTTGCAGTGAGGAGTTGTTTACCGCAAATAGGAGAGTTATTAGTGGTGCAATAAGATTTATTAAACATTATTTTTATTTTTACTGATTTGTTGGAACTGCTAGTGGTGTTTGTATCTGCGCGTGATATCAGTTTATCGCAAGTTTTATGTGTTGTCATATCGCCGCGAATAAATAGTAGCACAGTGCCGCCCCCTGGGGGTGAATTTAAAGACATTGCATTCATATTGCAGATGGTTCTTTATATTGACACCATAATGTAGAAGTGTTATTTTCCATTTGTAATTGTTTTCTACGTATTTTACATTAAAATCAACGAGATCAACGGGAATTCAAGACTGACCTTTTTATGACCTCGATAACATGAGTCATCAAACCGTACGTTGTCCTTCTCAAGCTCAACAGAAAGGCTAAAAATGAACTGTCGGTGCATGTATACCTACAGTGTTGATAAGAGCCGCATAACAGGGTTATCAACAGCTAACAGCTCCGGTAAAAACACACCATCGTCTTTTTCTCGTGCACGATTAAAAACTCGAGTACGAGATTGTCGGAGGATCGAAACACGCTCGCAGGGAAGACTTTTTTGAACAAAAAACATTCGACAGTATGAACGCTCTCGCTGCTTTCTTGCTCCATCCCTCTAACCTGTAGCATAGGAGAGCCAAGCTTGCAGTTATCGGTAGTAGAGGAAGCACAACCAGATGTGTTGTTCCTAACCGCTGAGCGCGGATCTTGCGCGCAGTTCCGCAGCAAGGCGCACGCGACCGCGGGAACGTCCTACGACAGAATGGAGCGCTGGCAGCTATGGAGCCGTGCGCCGAATCCATAGGCTAGCGCACCGATCCATAGCTGCCAGCGAACAGTCGGGAATTTTAGGGACACACACACACACACACACACACACACACGGACACACACACACGCAGACACACACACGCACACACACGGCAATGAGCAGAGCGTCCCGTTCCGCAACCATGCGTGCTCTCTGCACTACGCTGCGTACTCCCCATACATAATCCCTAATACATAATCCCCCCACAATACAGGGATAGTCTATTGATAGACTCCTGGTCTCATTAGTTAGTCTATGAGTGGATAGACGACTAGCTGTGGTGTAGATGGCGCCCCCAAGTTGTAGATACTGGAACTAAATGGCCATCATCTTAGGGGTGAATAATGACAAATGTCGTGTTGATCATAACGTCATATGTTGATGGATGTCATATGTCACAATATTTGTCATTATTCACCCCTTATAACATCAACAGCTAATGCTACATTAAATTACCATAATATGTATTATTAGTTCTTGATAAGATGCGATATAATAAATTATGCTCATGTTAGATATTCTCATGTCATATGTGATCATGAATGTACTTTTAGCGGTTAGCTTAGAATTTAGATTTTTAAACTTTTTTTGCGCCGATCGTGACGTTTTTATGGCGTTTCGGTTCACGTGTCTAACCGATAGTGCTCTATTAGAAAAAAATAAAAGTGCATCAGGTGTAACCGTGTAGATATAAAATACATTCATGCACTGACCTATGCATGAGTTGACGCTATGCATAAGTAAGCGACAGAGGAAGGCGCTCAGTGTTGATTCGCCCTGCTCGGCGTTATAACACACAAGTTACGTGGCGGCTCTGCAGACCGGTTACCGAAAGATTTTGCTCAACATTTGATACTGTATTTGTGCTGCAAGATGTCAGAGAAAATTCAGGATGAAGAGTTGCCGCTACCTAGTTATCTCCGTGTTTATAAAAACACTTTCTTGTCTACGTACATGGTAACTTACATGCCCGAGTACGAGAAGCTGAAATGCCGTGACGACGATGTCTATGTCATGTCCTATCCGAAATGTGGTAAGTTGTTGACAATTTTAGTAAGCTAGTCACTCATTCCTGAAAATTGATCATACTATATATACTACCTTACTAACATACACACACACGCACGCGCACACACGCTGGCATTCACGCACATACACGGACACACACCCGCACGCACACACGCACACACGCACAGATACACACACACACACACACGCACACACATATAAAAAGATCTATCGAAACAAACTTGTTTTAGCAGAAGCAGAGAACGAGTAGCAGTCTATATTTTCAAATAATAGTAGAGCAAATTAATGTTGAAGCGAATTGTTGTATTGCACGGTCTCATTCCCCCCCTGCGTGCGTAACCCAGCCGCACAACCCAAACGTCCAGATTGGCTTACAGACACACACGCCGTATATCCTCGCTCACACGTTCAGCAGTAGACTATAGTGATGATGATATGTCTACAGGTACAACATGGATGCAGG